GTGTGTGTGTGTGTGTGTGTGAGTGTGTGTGTGTGAATGTGTGTGTGTGTGTGTGTGTGTGTGAGAGTGTGCGTGTTTGCGTGTGCGGGTGCGTGTGTGAGAGTGTGTGTGTTTACATATTTTTGTATTTTTTTTGCACATTATATATCATATAATAAATTATATTATATTTTACTATAATATCATTTTATATTACTTTAATATGATATTTAGGACATTTTTGTTACTTTTGTTGGTTAATCAGGGAACTGTGTTGAATAAAAGTCCTGAAGAATGAGAAAAGCCATATTACAGTTACAATTATAATAAATAAATAAATAAATTAAAACTTAAACTTATATTATTGGCAATTTTTATCATTGTTAATTGATATTTTCATTTAGTTTAACTTCATGTACTAAAATATCTAAAACTGATAAATAAATAAATGAATAAATTAATTAATTAGACATTAAAAAAGATACCATGACAAAATAAATAAATAAATAAATAAATTACTAAAACTTTAAAAAATAATATAAAAACTGGAAATATAAAAATAAAACCTAATTTAAAATATGAATAAAAACTGTATCTCAATGTTAAAAGAACACTGGTGTGTTGGAATGTTTTGGAAGCATGATGGGAAGGCAGATGGTCTCTTCATAAGGGACGTCTGGTCCAGATGGCCGGTGTGAGTGTGTATTGCGGTGGTCCAGTGACTTACAGCACATGCAAACGCTGAAGTGCGAAACTATCGAATGTGTATCTGCACACAGATCTTCCGATGTGCTCTTCTCCATCTGCATGTGCTGTTATCTAGTCTTGAGGTCTGGAAGGGAAGGCCCTTGTTCACTAGTGGGTCACCGCTGGATATTTCTGCATTTGCTCTGGACCTGCAGATAAAGCAGCAGAGGCAGGCAGTGAAACAGCTAGAGGACGAACTAAAACATCGACGTATTCAGATGAGTGGCACACGGTTAGCTCTTCTCTGTCTGATGGGGCCCCTGCTAGTTCGGGGCCAGAATGACACGGAGCCCATCGTGCTGGAAGGGAAGTGTTTAGTCGTTTGTGACTCCACTCCGACCACAGAACCCGCTGGGTATGCTTTGGGAATGTCGGTGCGCTCCGGAAACGGCCGCATCGCCTTCTCGGCTGTGAGGAACAACAACCACGAACCGTCTGAGATGAGCAACCGCACTATGACCATATACTTCGACCAGGTAACGATGCATGGGATATATGATCGTTCCTTCCTTTCGCGGCTTCATCAGCAGCACATGAGGCAGCCAGTGCTGTAACAGACCCGACGCTTTCCATCTGTCTTTCTGTATTCCATCAGGTTCTGGTGAACGTCGGGAGCCATTTTGATCCGGCACGGAGCGTTTTCGTGGCTCCTAGAAAAGGAGTGTATAGCTTCAGTTTCAACGTGGTGAAAGTTTACAACAGACAAACTATACAGGTGCGTCAAAAGATCCATTCAGAAACACTTACGCAGAGCCTCATGAGGAAAACAAAAATAACTTGTTGCTTCATATTTGTTGTCTTTTAAACATTTTCTGAATAACAAATATCAAAAATGAAAATGTGCTCACCCTCAGATCATCCCAGATGTAGATGAGTTTGTTTCTTCATCAGGTTTGGAGAAATGTAGCATTGCATCACTTGCTCACCAATGGATCCTCTGCAGTGAATGGGTGCCGTCAGAATGAGAGTCCAAACAGCTTATAAAAACATCACAATAATCCACAAGTAATCCACAGCACTCCAGTCCATCAGTTAACATCTGGAGAAGACAAAAGCTGAAACTAATCCAGCATTAAGACGTTTTTAACTAAAATACATTGAGTCCATAATCCATAATAACGCTTCCTCCAGTGAGTCGGTGTTCTGTTGTGAATCAGGAGAGAAATCTGCACAGATCAAGCAGCGTTTAAACAGCTCTAAACTAATATGTGGCTGGATTTTGATGTGACAGACAAAAGCAGATGCACTTTTTCACTGGAGGAAGAGTTATTATGGATTATGGACTTGTATTTTAGGCTGAAGCAATGGTTTAATTGATATAACTGATGGACTGGAGTGCTGTGGATTACTTGTGGATTATTGTGATGTTTTTATCAGACTCTCATTCTGACGGCACCCATTCACTGCAGAGCATCCACTGATGTGCGAGTAATGGAATACTACATTCTTTCATTTTTGGCTGAACTATTTCTTTAACTGTCTTTTTCTAAAACTTTTGTAGTGACAACAGAGGACATATAAATCAAAACCGCCTAGTTCAGCAGTTTCCAACTAGTTTTGCATTTCAGCATGACATCAAATGGCCACCATACACTGCACAAGCACATTCATGTTCAATCCAGTTATTAGATTAGCTTGAGAAAGCCAACCTACTGATCTGCTACGTAAGCTTTTTATTATTATTCTTAATAGACTAAATTTCTGACCACGAAACTCAGCCCAGATCTTCAGACTGATCTGACTTAGTGTGCTATATCTTTTCAGACTGATCCGACTTATAGTTTTCATAAAACTGAAGATTAAAAATCATAAAAATCCCATAGACTTGCATTGACGGAATGTTCAGATGAGCCAAGACTATTCAAACTCCAGCTGTCAAAATTAAAATCTAAACTCCCAGAATCCCTTGAGACTCAATCAAGCTTCCCTTCTATGTACTATATCTAACCCATTCAAACTCATCTAGCTAATATTTCTTTATCTATCTATCTATCTATCTATCTATCTATCTATCTATCTATCTATCCTAGCGACATGCTAATCATGCTAGAAACATACTAACAACATGCTAGTAGCATGCTAATCCGACTTGTAGTTTTCATAAAACTGAAGATTAAAAATCCCATTGATTTACATTGACGGAATGTTCAGATGAGCCAAGACTATTCAAACTCCATGATTAGCAACATGCTAGGATCTTGCTAATCATGCTAGCAACATGCTAGTTATTTGCTAATAATGATATCAACATACTAGTAACATGCTAATCATGCTAGAAACATGGTAGCGATATGCACTTGCTAATCATGCTAAAAACATGCTAGTCACTTGCTAATCATGCTAGTAACATGTTAATCATGCTAGAAACATGCTAACGACATGCTAGTTACTTCCTAATCATGTTAACAAAATGCTAGTAACATGCTAATCATGCTGGAAACATACTAGTAACATGTTAATCATGCTAGCAACATGCTAGTCACTTGCTAATCATGTTAGCAACATGCTAATCATGCTAGAAACATGCTAGCGACATGCACTTGCTAATCGTGCTAAAAACATGCTAGTCATTTCCTAATCATGCTATCAACATGCTAGTAACATGCTAATCATGCTAGAAACATGCTAGTCACTTGATAATCATGCTAGCAACATGCTAGTAACATGTTAATCATGCTAGAGACATGCTAGTAACTTGCTAATAATGCTAGAAACATGCTAGTCACTTGCTAATCATGCTAGTAACATGTTAATCATGCTAGCAACATGCTAGTCACTTTTTAATCATGTTAGCAACATGCTAATCATGCTAGTAACATGTTAATCATGCTAGCAACATGCTAGTCACTTTTTAATCATGTTAGCAACATGCTAATCATGCTAGTAACATGTTAATCATGCTAGCAACATGCTAGTCACTTTTTAATCATGTTAGCAACATGCTAATCATGCTAGTAACATGTTAATCATGCTAGCAACATGCTAGTCACTTGCTAATCATGCTAGTAACATGTTAATCATGCTAGGAACATGCTAGGAACGTACTAATCATGCTAGGAACATGCTAGTTACTTTTTAATCATGCTAGCAACATGTTAGTAACATGCTAATTATGCAAGAAACATGCTAGTAACTTGCTAATCATGCTACCAACATGCTAGTAACATGCTAATCATGCCAGCAATGTGCTAGTGACAGGCCAATCATGCTAGAAACATGTTATCAACATCTATCTAATCTAACTTTTCAAACTTCAGGCTTTTACAACTGCTTTAAACTTTCAGGCTAGGCTTTCTCAAGCCAACCAAAATTTTGTCTTGACAAACTTTTTTATCTAGTTATTATTAAATATTGTAAAAATTCCTTTCTTTCTGGCTCTCCGTCCAGGTAAGTCTGGTGTTGAACGGTTGGCCAGTGATCTCGGCCTTCGCTGGCGATCAGGATGTGACGCGTGAGGCAGCGACCAACGCCGGTCTGGTTACGATGGAGAGAGGAGACAAGGCCTACCTCAAACTGGAGAGAGGAAACCTGATGGGCGGCTGGAAATACTCCACCTTCTCCGGCTTCCTGGTCTTTCCCTCATAGAAAGAAGTTCACGCAGAAAACTGATCAAAAGCGCACATTCAGCAGAAGGACGTGTTCACAAGTGTTCAGACAAGGATGCTTCTTCTGTTCCTGTACTTACACACACTGCTGGGCTTCTTCCTCTGCATCTGTTCTATATGCATGAACCTGCTTGTTAAGGTCAGGGATGCACGTTATATGGCACTTTCCACTAACAAGATACAAAATAGGGTATAAAAATGTTGCTTTCTGACAAACAATCAGTGAACGGTGCTAAACCTTAAGATTGTGGTGATCATCGTCAACCTCAGGACGTCAAACTAAATATGATATAATATATTCTGTTATCTTTTCATTTTGAATTTGCAAATCTTGCAATCCTGTAACCTGCATTTGGGATGTGTTTGCTATTTTCAATTAACATTAAATAAAGAGTAAAGCAGAAAATTAAAAAACAAAAACAAAAAAAAACACACTAGGTAGGGGAAACAAGGACACACTCAAAAAAATTGAAATTCATGCAGGTTGCACACAATAAATTCCAATTTTTAGTGATTAAGCATTTTACATATATTTTTGCTAACGAAGCATATATCCATTGGGCAGATTACGTATGATTTCAATTGTTTGATGCAAGTGTGAAAGTCGTGACATCTGAGGTTGAATAGGACATAATTGATGTTTAAAACAAATTATTCCAACTGTACAATAAAATTCTGATGTGTTGAAGCATGAATGATTCTAAATTGGAGCCTCCTTTGTTTTTAAACAACAGATGAAAGAATATAGATTTATAATATCAGCCATTACGACATAACTGGTCATTATAAAAACAATTATTGATCATCCTTATTGGCCAGAATTAATATTCAGGTGAATCCCTACATGGTGCACGTCCATAAAACATCCTAAGGCAAGACACTAAAGGCAAAACTATAATTTTTTCATGCATTTGTCAATTTTGAGACTTTTTACATAATATTCTTTTAAGCTAGTAAAAAAAAAACATCCAAACTACACATATAAGTGTTTATTTTATTACACTTTATCTATCTATTTTTGTCTGTGGATTTCAATTACAGTACATATCTTTAAAGGTAATTTCTTTCTAAATGAGTTTTTATCTCCACTTCAGCAAACACCAAACTTAGCAGTTGTATTCCTCTCTATAGTCCGAAGGTTTTTACTGAGGGGTTTGTTCATGTATCATTTGGCTGATTTTATACAATATTTTATTCCAAATGGTAAAATTGTGTTAGTTTTCTGTCTGTTAAAGTATGTTGATATCAATTAGTTATTATTTCTATTCAGCTGTAATGTCTTGCCTGTAAAACGAGTCGTGATTCGTCTGGTTTCATTCTGCCATGGAGGTCAGAGAGTAAATGGACACAAATGGCTGCAGAGTCTATTTATCATCATTATCCGCCATCTGTTGTTCTGGCTACAGACGTCAGAGCCTCCAGGCCTTTCGAGGACAGCACATGTCCTGTTCTGGCTTCAAATATTCATGATGTGAATCATATGAACACATACCATATATATTTTTTTAAAGGAAGCATTAAAGGGACAGCTCACCCAAAAATGAAGATAGTTTGAGGAATGTTGGTAAGCAAACAGCTGACGGTAGCCATCGATTTCCATAGTATGACAAAAATACAATGGACCTTTTTGACATTTCCGGGTCTCTTAGCAGCAAGAAGCCGACATAGTTGGGTTAACTTCGAGAGCAGTGAATATATTTTTTGCATTCCCATTTGCTCAAATAGCAAAGGAAACGCACGACTTTTAATCAAAAGAAACAAATGAGAGAGACTGACAACAGCAGTCAGAAGAGAGAACGATGTCAAATTTTAAGTCCCTGCATTAAAAACACCCTCGTATGGAAGCCCGTTTCCGCTATTGAATAAAAAAAAAAAGGTAACTGTGTCTTTTTATCTCACAATTCTGACTTTTTTTATCATAATTGCGTGAAATAAACTCGCAATTGCGAGTTAAAAAGTCATAATTGTGAGATATAAACTCGCCGTTCTGAGAAATAAAGTCAGAATTGCGTGATATAAACTCGCAATTAATATTTATTAGACATGAAATCCGAATTGCGTGATATAAACTCGCAATTAATATTTATTAGACATAAAGTCAGAATCGCGTGATACAAACTCGCAATTAATATTTATTAGACATAAAATCAGAATCGCGAGATATAAACTCGCAATTAATATTTATTAGACATAAAATCAGAATCGCGTGATATAAACTCGCAATTAATATTTATTAGACATAAAATCAGAATCGCGTGATATAAACTCGCAATTAATATTTATTAGACATAAAATCAGAATCGCGTGATATGAACTCGCAATTAATATTAATAAATATTATTTGCGAGTTAGACAAAGTAGTTAGACATAAAGTCAGAATCGCGTGATATAAACTCGCAATTAATATT